GGGGGGGGGGGGGGGGGGGGGGGGGGGACGCGGCGACGACCGCGCCAGCACAAGTTTCTGCTCTCCCTACAACTGTCCAGACTGCAGGGTTGGCCGCCTGTTTTTGTTGTTGTCCTCGAGCGTTCTGGGGGCTTCGTGGAAGAGGGCTAGTCCTCCCCCCACCCCCACCTCGTTACCCACCCACCCCCCTCTTCCGTGGATGGAAAAACAACTTTGGCGCCCCCCGGGGGGTGCGGGCGTGGAAGTGGAGGTGGCCGCCAGCGCCCAGCTGTCAACAAGGGGGGAAAAAAAAAAACTGCGGGGAGTAGCGGGGAGGGGAGAGGGCAGGCTGCGAGCCGCCGAGCGGTGGGCGCGAACTTTCTTCCGACTGCGCCGCAGCACCTCGGCTCCGGGCTTTTCGGGCTCTCGGTCCGCTCGGCCCAGCTCCGTCAGCCCCGCGCGGCGCCCGGGCTGAAACCGGGGTGGGGGAAGCCCGGGGACCGAGACTCGGGACGGCGGACGCGCCGGGACACCCGGCCGAAAGTTGCGCACAGCTGGGGGCGAAAAGTTTCTGGGAGCGGCGTGTTTGGTGGCGGCCCAGACGGCGGCTTGCGGCTAGGGCTTCCTTCCCCTTTCCCTAGGTCTGGGCCCGGAGCTGCAGCGGGGCGGGGGAGAGGAAGGAGACGGGCACTGGAGCGGGCGCCCGCGGCGGACACCGGGCACACGTGTGGGTGACACTCGGCCGCCCCAAGTTGCCCTGCTTGGAGACAGGGCGGCAGGCAGGCTGGGTGCGCACCGGCTAGCAGCTGAAGGAGATCTCTTAAATGGAAGCAAAACCCAGTCGGGCTGCAAGATCGGGGTGGGGGGAGGCCTTAATCATCCTCGTCTTTCTAATGTGCACCGAGTGCCAAAACCCTCTCCGCCTCGTGCAGATTTATCATCGCTAGAGCAAACTTTTTGCTTGTCTGCCGCGGGAGGAAGGCACAGGTTTCTAGCCCACTCTCTGGGCTCTAAGAAATCAGAGAATCCGCGAAGATTTGGTTGACTGAACAACAGGCTTGATTACTGTTTCTTCCTGAAAAGAGAGAACCATCCCTCGGTCCTTTCTCTCTTCCTCAAGCAGAGGAAGAGACTGCGTAGTAATTTCATTCAGAGGTCAGAATTAAATTCCTTCGAAAATATGTAGCCTTGGAATTAAAGAGGTTCTTTTTTTTCCTGTACAGTCATAAGTTTAATGTACATTTTCACAATAGTTAAGCCTATTTTTTTTTTCAGGATCCATGCCTGACTAGATCCCAAGTAGCAACAGCTGGCCTGAGAATGTAAATTAGCCTATTCACGTGTTCACGTGGTGAATCCAGTTTTTTTTTTTCTTTTCTTCTTCTTCTTTTTAAACAACAGGGCCACCAGCACCTACAGCTCCATGTACTGGTTGGGTCCAATTCCTGACTCCTTCTAGGTCCGTGCAAAGTAGAGTTCAGAATTTGTGGATTCTATGTCATTTTGGTATGGAATAATTTGTGTGGTAAACATTTCTCATGTTATAAGAAATACTGTAGTGTTTTGGGCACGCGGTACATCTCTAATTTTCCAATGAGCGACAGTTACTTTTCTCAGTGGTATAAATTACAGGTTAGGTATCAAGCCCTTATCCACATTTGTTTAAATACATGTTATCAAAGGAGGCTCATCTCTAAATGACTTGATTAAGGTGTGGAGCTGATTCCCTAAACATAACTGTAACATCATTCTGTAGTTTGCAGAAACTGATTACGAAAGGGATAATGATGACCAAATGTTCATTCTGAGCAACTGAGGAGCATCCCAAGAATTTTCCAGAAACAAGCCAAGTTTTGGTGTGTTTTCCTGCATCGTGAAAAGAGGAGAAAAACTAGCTGCTGATTTCGGAGTCATTGCCCACACAAACCCATTCCCACACTTCCTGCTTTGGAGAAGTCAGCCTTCAGTGGTTGGCAAACAATTGTATTCACACTGTGTGCCTCTGGCTGCACACCGACACTTGCCAGTGTGTGGGCTCTTTCTACCTCAAGCAGTGTGTAATTTACATCCTTCTGATTGGTTTCAGAATTGTCTGTTCTTGATGTGAGCTTAAGGTCAACTGTCTGAGGTGAGATGTGTCTGTTGATGCCCCCCCCCCCTTTCTGGGTCGTCATTACAAAGACAGGGATTGGTTGGGCGGAAGAGCAAAGAAGTGAGTTTGCGTGGCCATTGGTACAGGACCTTGGGTCCCCTGCATCCTGCAGGACTCGAATCTACCTGACTCAACTGCTTGATGGCCATTTGTTCCTTCTGCTGCTGGACTCTACTCAAGTCGTGAGGCCTTTCTCTTCCTCTAACTTGCCAACCTGCTCTCTAGCTTGGACCTTGGTGGCTCTTCTCTTTGCTGGAAGTCTTCTCCTGTCCACGGTCCCTTCATCTCCAGCTTCACTTCTAAAGAGTCAAAGTTCTTTACCCACTGTCCAAAATACTCCTCACCCTTTCTACCTTTACTGTTTCTCCTTGGATGCCTGTAATCATACAAGTTGTGTTTTTCAGTCTATATGATTACTACTTTTTGTCAACTATAGTAAAAGCTTATTCAGGGCAAGGGAGGATCGAGGAATGTCAGAATTACTGTACTATATTGATCTGATCACCACAGTGCCAAATAAATTTGCTCTAGGAATAGGGGGAAAGAATCCATTCTTTAAGAGGGGATAGAAAACACTATTTCACCCTTCCCCAGGGATCCCCAAAGTAAACTCTGGGGACACCCAACACTTTCCAAGGTCCTCCTAAAAGGGCCATGAGGTCAAAACTAGTTTTATTTCAGTAATAAAAAGTTGTTTACCTTTCCTGCTCCCCCTGTGCATTTTTGAAAGCCTGTGTGACATGTAACATCACAGCAGTCTGATTTGAGGTGGACAGGAGAATCCACCTGTTAGTCCATCGGCTGTTACTGGAGACATGCTACAGGGGTGCAAATCGGTGCCATTCATTCCTCCCAGGAAATTTTAGGGTTCTAGATTCTTTTTTATGTGCATTTATTTGTTTCTTGTGCTGCTATAAAAATTACAAAAAAAATCAAATTAAGGCACACATTTATTATAATTCTGGGTGTCTGGTGGGAGCTATATCAAAAATAAACATTTCAAAAGCTAAAATCAAGGTACTTGTGTTCCTTTCTGGGGCCTTTGAGAGAATCTGTTCTCTCTTTTCCACCTTTGAGAGGCCACTCTTTGGCTCAGAGCCCCTTTTCCTGTCGAGGCTGCACTGACCACACAAGTCTTCCTTTCTCTGCTTGCTGCCAGCCAATTGTGACTGTCCTGGTGATTACTTTGGGTATATTGAGATAATCCAGGCCAATCTATGTCGAGATCCTTAACGTAAGGATGTAGGCCATTATTATTAGGGGTTATTTAATTCTTCCCACTGTAGAATAATAACAGCAAATGGTATGTTATTTCAAACAAATTGATACCTCTTTAAAACATCAGAATGTAAATTTCTAATAATATTAATAGCTGTTGTGCATATCAATAAAAGCATTTTTCAGTTTTTTTAAAAAAAAGAAGAAACTTAAAAAAAAGTTTAGGGGTCAAAAAACTTGAACAGTTTGTTAATACCAGGCCCACACCATTGATGTTCAGATTAAATTAGTTGTTCTATCCTGGTTATAATGGCTCTCTTTCCCTCTGTGGTGACCACTTTAAAGTTGAACATCTTACTTGGTTCTAACAGGAGGAAAAGTCACTGAAGACTTCATGTAAAGATTACTTTGGTGAGAATTACTTTACTCATTAAAACTCAAAGTGGTAGAAAAGAAATAAACTGCCATTTCTATGACCTGGATGTTAGTATGAGAGAATATGGTACCTCAAACAACCCTTATCTACCTTGTTGGTGACCAGGGGATCCTATGTTCCGGGATAATGAATGGAGTGGGGAGGTGAAACATGCCAGACAAGCTTTCCTCAGTTACTGTGCTGGGGATTGAACCCAGGGCCACCTGCATGCCTGCACATCTCCACCACCCATCTCCAGCCATCCCCAGCCCTACACCCCAGTTCTTGGTGCTGCTGACTTCCAAGTCAAACTAACCCGATTGCTCAGATTTCCTTTTGTGGAATATAATTCATCCTGTCATGTTTCTGTTTCTTGCTGCTTAAAGTTTCCTAATGGTACAGGGAAAAACAACATGTTTAGAATTTCCACGTAGGCATTCCCTTGTACAGTTTCCCATGGAATTTAGATATTTTCCCTGAATTCTGAGAAATCAGTAAGCTAGGGAAAGTGTTATAATTCTCCTGTGGTAATGGAAACTGTCAATATAAAGATGTAGTTAGAATGAACCCGAAGGGGGACTGTGACACAGGGATTTGAAAGCTAAAGGTGACATTTGCAGGGATGACAGTCATCAGATCAGTTTGTCTGTATTTGTGACAACATTATAAGTTTATGTTCCTGGCAGCGTCTGCAGGTACTAATGAGTCATCCTTGCAAATTAATAGAAGGTTATTTGCATATGTTATTTTTCATTATGAATTATATTCAAAGAAATAACATGTTTTGGGGCAAAAGAAGTCTTTAAATTGGCAATTTCAATTCGTGAGTTTTGCGTGACGCTGGTGACCTTGTAGGAGGCCTTCACTGCATTCAGAAGGGACTACAGTTTTTTGCAAGTACAAGTTGATGAAAAAATTTTAAATTTAGAAAAAGCTATTCAATGTCAAATCCAAATTCGGAGCAGACAGAATATTTTCA